CTGTATTCGAGCATTGGTCTAGCAAAGGTTTTGTATGCCCTGGTTAGCAATTCAATATTTCCACAGGAGAGGTTTTGTAAGATTAGATTTACAACTCTTTTGGCAATGCTGTTGCAGTGAGCTCTGGCACTTAGGTTGTTAGATATGAGTACTCTAAGATCTTGACAGATAGAGGGTCCTCTACGAGGCTTAGCTTGTATTTGGTGCACTTATTTTTTTTTTCCCCAATGTGTAGGGCAGAGCATTTGTTGGTCGAGATTTGGAGTTGCCAATTGTTTGACCATTCAGACATATAATTAAGGTTGCTTTGAAGGACGGTAGCATTGTCGGTGGTGTTGAATATGTATGTATGTATGTTGGAAGAAAATATCTACCTTGCTGGATCATTTCAGACGCCTCTGGGAATTTCAGAATCCCTGCTTAGCCAAAGAAAGAGGCGTAACTGTGAAAAACGGCCCTAAAAGTCGCTTTTTTTCAAGTGCCGTTGGTCACTAAATAAACAATTGTAAACCGAGGACAATAGCTGTATTGTCTTCCTGGGAGCGCTGGATGACCAGGGAAAGGGACTTTATTTTTTTTCCAGCCACGTTATGTTGTGTGAATGCCGTCTTTAGCTAACCAGGGTCACTCAGAGCTTGATTGATGGATCGATCAAGCTTGGAAAAGCTGAAGTTCTGGTTTTAATTCCTAGCTATGGGACCAGATCAAACATCCATCGTGTTTGCCCCTTGCAGCTTGTTCTGAGCTTGGCGCAGCAATTCCTGCTCCGTTTTTAGTATTTAGTATTTATTTGATTTGTCAATCGCTTACAAGATATAGGTATAAGAATAAATATAGTTTTGAATACCTGAGATAGATATTTGTAAGAAAAATAAAAGAAACAATAGGACAGGGACGGTAAGCACAATTGGTGCACTTATGCACGTCCCCTACAGACCTCTTAGGAAAGGGGTGAGGTCAATAGTAGACAGTCTAAGGTGAAAGTTTTTGGGGTTTGGGGAAGAAACCACAGAGTCAGGTAGAATATTCCAGACATTGACCCCTCTGTTGCTGAAGTCGTATTTCCTGCAATCAAGTTTGGTGCAGTTAACCTTGAGTTTGTATCTATTGTTTGCTCTTGTGTTGTTAGGGTTGAAGCTGAAGTATTCATGGGCAGGTAGGACATTGCAATGTATGATTTTATATACTATATTTAGATCGGATCGGAGGCGGCGTAGTTTTCAAGGGGAGGTTGGTCTCTGTTTTCCTGGAGGCATTGCTGGCTCTCTGACAGCCTGGACATTAAATGGGTCACTCCGGGAGACCCTTCTGTTGCCGGCCCCCCGTCTCTTGTCACAGGCTACCCCGACCTGATGGATGTTAAGGGAATGGAGGTGACACCGACTGTCAAGGCAGGATTTAGTGCAGCCGAGCCCAAAGGGGATGTCATCAGGAGGCATCTGTGTCAGTCCTTAAAAAATATCATTTTGGGGGGAGAGGCTGGCGTTTGCCAAATGGAGGGGGAAGGAAGTTAGGTTCCTGGGCCTGGCTCAGAGAGGGAAGAAAAGAAGATGATGGTTGGGACAGAGGAGGGAGAGACAAACGGAGGGGAGGGGGCTAGGGGGGTGAGAATCAGGTCTGAAGAATTCGTGCTCACCGTCAGGGCCCTGCAAAAATAAAAAATAAAAAATGGTGCTATAGAATTCTGGTTTCCATCCCAGAGGAATGAAGGTGGTTTCTTTGGGGGATTTCAGGCCAAAAGATGAATGGGAAAGGAAGGAAGGAAGGAAGGAAGGAAGGAAGGAAGGAAGGAAGGAAG